ATTTCATTTAATAAATGTTTTGATATATAAGTTGTTCGATTTTTTCATCTGAAAAAATGACATTAATTTCTTAACGACCTAATATATATGAGACTACAAGACTTGTGGTGTAACACTCTTTCCTGTCATGCTGGCTGGGTTACAACACACACAGTCTTTGTTGAGCTATATGTATATATATATATATATATGTGACACAACAAAACTTGTGCCTTATCTAATGGAGCATAACGTGTTACTACTAAATGTGATAGGTTGCCATCTAAGATGCACTGTCTCATAATAACCAGTTTGTTCTTACTTTCTCCATAAATCTTCAGTTGTCATCATACGTGTGCTTGAAAACCTAAATGACTAGATGTACGATATGTTAGTGCTTATTCCAACAAACAGCCCCTCCCCCTTCCATTTTATATAAGGCTTAGAATATTTTAGAGTAATTATTGAGGTTTCAGGTTTAATATTTCATATCCATTCCAAAAATAACTTTCAATTATAGTTTGTTTGTTTTTTTACTAGACTTTGTCCGAGCTATCCTCGTTACATGCTTGTACCAGCAACCATATCCGATAAAGACCTCGAAGCTGTAGCAAGCTTTCGTTACTCTCGACGCATTCCCACAGTCGTTTGGAGGTAAATTGTATAAACGTTCTTTTGCTTTGATTAGTGGAACCTCTCTAATGTATGTTATACTGTACTAGAAGAATGAAACAAAGGGTTTGTTGTGATGTGTATGAATAACTCAGATTATCTCCGTATGGTACAGGTTCTTGAATGGTGTCTCATACAGACTTGTATAATAATTTGGCTGAAAATAAATCATGTGGTTGTATGTTTCACAGACACAGGGATAATGGAGCAGTGATTGCTCGAAGCAGCCAGCCGGAAGTTGGCTGGCTGGGCTGGCGCAGCAACCAAGATGAAAAGCTTCTTCAGGCCATTATTGATGCCTGCATATGTGATCCTGGATCTTCGCATGACACAGCTGATCCCAATCCCTGTGATACTTCCAAGTCTACTGGAGAAGGGGATTGTGAAGAGATCTCATTGTTACCTCATCTAACCAATGGTAAGAATTTTTCTGTTTTTTTTGTTTTAGTTCCACAACTCTGTGTTTGTTCTGTGGGTGTACAGTATGTAACTATGTGTTGAGTAGGTTATCATGAACTAAAATAATGTACAGACTGTAGCTTTGTTTATTTGTAGAGCTCTGTATGTGTGTTCTGTGGGTGTACAGTATGTAACTTATGTTGTGAGG